AATGTAAGGGGGAAAAAAAGGTTTTCTTGTAGCAAAATAGAGGTAGAAAAACATGAGGAAATTCTTGTGGGCTGAATGGTAGAGAAAGATACCTTCGGGGAAAAATATGTAGGGTGACGGTCTACTGAAAGACCTAAAAAGGAAATTAGTGAAAACAAAAATGCAATGAGCTGAACTGAAGATATTTTGTAGATCAGAAATTCTACAGAAAGGTATGTGACTTCCTTTTTCCATGTGAGCAAATAAGCTGAAACATGGACTATGATCTCCCTGGGGATCCCCAGAAAAAGTTATATCTCCCAAGGGCAAAGTAGAGTATAAACTCAGTCTCCAGGCTGGAAAACACGTTCTGAGCATCAGAAATAAACATGGAGTAAACTGTTTGGGAAGGGTAGAACAATACATTTTGATCACCTTGGAAACTGAAAAAGCTTCTTCTTGGATAAAACTTTTCCATCATAACCAGAATGGTGTGCACAACCTCCAACATTCTCACTGTGACCCAAGTGAAGACTGCGAAATAAATCACAGAGTTTGCTAATATCAATCTGCTCTGTGTAGAGCATTGTTATATATAATGTAGTTACATAAAGCAATATGACAAACTTAATAGATAGGAATCTTTTGGCAAAAATAATTTATGTAATGAGTAGTTTCCATGGCAGTGTTTACACTGAACTCAGTACCCAATGGCACTATTTAAAATCCTTTCAAGAAATTCAGCTTAATAAAGTACTGGCCTTTGCGAGATCCAATGATATTGAAATTTGTTAGAGCAGTATGTTTGTATTACATTTTAGTATAATATTCCCATTTTTGATAGCTTAAGCAGATGAATAAAAAAGATTCTTTCCTCTCTAGTTGGTCCAATGAAAAGTACACTTTTGTGATGCATTAACCAAGGGTTAAATGTTGAGGAGTTCACCAGCTGTTCCAGTATGAGCAAGCGATCATTTGAGCAGCTAGCCTTAAAGCAACTGGCATCCTCCTAAAAACAATCAGCTTGCAGCAGAGGTGTTTAATACTTCCCCTTCAAATGGGGAATATAAACAAAATTTTCCTCAGCTGTACACAAGACTGAGCTGTTGGACTGATAATATCCAATACTGAATAAATGGGAAGGGTAAGAGATAAGTCTGCAACTCCTCAGAACTAGGCTGCATTTAAACTGACAATATTTTCTTCTTGGAAACTCACACATCAGCACACTGGGAATCTTATTAATAGAAAAAGCTATTTTAGGTATCTCAAAGTCATTTAAAACTGTATTACTTACAGTTTTCCCCTCTGAGTTCTAGGAAATTGGATTAATGTTATGCACAAATGAAATTTTATACTGTGAGGTAGGTACAAGACCAAAAAATCCCTGTGATTTCTTATTAAAATATGTCCCAAAAGCACAGTTATTTCTCCTCTTAAATATTTGGCATGTCAAAAATGTGAGAGAACATAATGAGGTACAAAGATTTTTATTAACAGCTCTTTGAGATGTTTCATGAATAATTTGTGAGACAAAAAACCCTGATATAACCTCACTATCCCATCCCAGCACAAAAGCTTTGGGATCACATGAAAATGCAGTTCACTACTTCCTATGTGAATATGGGAATATATTCTATTGGATATTTTCAATTATAGCAATTACTAATGTACTAGCACTAACTGATATAGAGCAACTGCACTGCAGCCATGCAGTCAGAGCCAGAACTGCAAACTCACCCAGAAGCCATTGCCAAAGAAAATGCCCCGACTACACCCTGCTCATGATTTTTTCTGTTATTCCTGGGAAAACCAGACCTGACAACATTGAGACAAACAACAACTCTATTTTTCAGTTTTCTCCTTTTTTGTTTACTTGCTTCCCATGAAAATATTTTCTATTCTACAAAAAGAATCAAATCAAAAATATTCTCATCTGTCTTCTGATGCAAATTTGATCTGCTCAAGTGCATAGGGGATTACAGCTAAAAGCGTGATTTGAAATATCTAAGAATGAATTCAAGTCTGTCTTCTCTCTGATTCAGAGTAAAGCATTCCCTTCTAAATCAGGTAAAACAGGAACATGAACTTCAGTTCCTGCAGATATTTTAGTCCAGAGACTGCTACTGCAGCAATACTTCTTTTCACTGAAAACATTCTTATCATCTCCTGTTCTCTCACACCTTTAAAGCCTCCTTGTGAGAATCAAAAGTAGTCCGAACATGGCACACCAGTTTAACTTCTGCTGGATGATTTGTTGGTCTAAATCTGGCTTCAATTCTGTCTGAAGATTAAAGACTCAACAGCATGCGTGTCACTGCCAACTTCAACCATCTGTCATTACCCTCAAGTATGTTTTAGCTGTGATATTTACCTACTTGCTGCTGTTTTGTAAACAGAACACAAAATGATGAATACCTTAGCACTTAACCTTTCCAGAGACCTTACCTTCTGATTTAGCACCCAGTCTCACTCTTTTCTTAGATAAAGCTCCCAAACCAAATCCACATCAATTGTTTTCCCTGTGATAATTTAGCAGCTAGATGACTAAAGTATGAAAGGTTTCATTTTGAAGCAGCATCCAAAAACTTCAAATATCCAAGACCTTTCATAATAATGTCTTATTAAAATAACAAACATTTCCAATACATACTGGTGTCTATGTCTGTATGCATACGTAGTACATGAAATAAAAACATAGCCATTTGCAAACACACCACCTTACATGTCAACAAAGAGAGCATTATATAAATTGAGGTAAAAACTTCTCTGTAATTTATGCCATAACAACAATGGCAGCTCCATTGCTTTACTAATAGGTGGTCTATCTACACAGGACATGCACTAAGACTGAAAATCATTAGGCAGTTTTGGCAAAAAAGTGCTGAACAGTTCAGTTGCACAGTCCTGGAATGGCTCTTTTGTATTATTTCTTTTTAAATTACATTGGTGAATGTATTTTAAAATACATCGGTGTGTCTTTGCCTGGATAGGCTAGAATTACTGCTGTGATGTAGAACTATTGTATAAATAGCATCTACAGCTAACCAAATTTGTTAATTTGGTTATGCAGTGTCTCAAGAGGAAGGTTCAAATCCAGGTTTCTCCAGATGAATATTTAGTACAGTCATGCCAGCTCTCGTTTAATGAAATCTTGAAAAACAAATTTCTGAACAAGAGTTCACTGTTAAGAGGAGGACAGTGAGTGCTATAACTTTGTGTCTGAGGCAGGACGTACAGCAAACAGTTTTCTAATATTCACTGGCCCTTCCAGTCAAACATTTACATAAAAAAGCAGCAACAAAATCATTGAAAGGAAGAAAGCAAAGCCTTGGGTATAGGGAAGGATGAGCATATTAGAGGGAGAGTGAATAAATGGGAATAACATGAAAGCTACTGATGAGCAGAAATCACGTCATTTTAACACAATTGAAAGAACAGTGATTGCTACTAGAAACATTTGACACTTTCTTCTTTGTTTCCCAAAAAAGGTCTGATATGGCCTCTACAAAACCCTCTACAGAGAATTGGTTATGCTGGAATGATCTGGTTTTATGCCTTTATTCTGGAAACAGACGTTATTAACATTCATAATCACTTTTTCTTGGGAATCATTTTCATTAATGGTGCACAATATTACAAGAAGAAAGAAAAAACTTCCTTAGCCTTTACCTGCCTGGATTGTTGACCTCTTAAAACCTTATGTTTAATGTTTTAGGGTAGCCTCTGGAAGGCAACTATGTCCTTTCCCCTTTCTTGCACACCACCTGGTAGAAGGTGTTTGTCCATTAAACTCACTGACCTATCTAAGTTCCATGGTCAAAGTGCTGACAAAACAGTTAGTGTTTATTTTATGTCCATTATCTCCTGCTTGTGTCCTGTTTGTGATTTGTTAGTGTATTTAGCTGCCAGGTTGAAATTATAAAATATATCCTGATGTCAGTGGAAAATTTTTTGTGTAAAATATAATGTTAGTAAATAAATCAAAAACATTAGTGTTACTCTACTAATAGAGTAGAAAAAGAATAGAAAAGAGTAGAAAAGTCTAGCACTGATTTCTGTGTTTCAGGATGCTTTCTACTCTTCCTGTTTTTCTTAGTTAAATCTATGATAACTATGGAGGTGGAGGGTTTAGTCTTTATCTTTTTTTTAGAAGTTGTTAGTTCTTAGTGTATATGAGGAATACCAGTCATGGGGAAAGCTTAGGACTACTGCATTCAAAAATAAAGGCTGAGGTATTAGTACACCTGGGTGCATGGACTGGACTACAGGGGCCTCATAGACCCACCTTCTTCAGTTCTCAAAGATACCACCAGTTACAGCAACACTCTTCTTTGTAAGAGCAGTAAATCCCTCTCAAATCATTACAGTCTTTCAAACAAGCTTTTTATATTGTAAGATCAGAAAACACAGGAGAGCCAAACACTGAAATTCTTGTTATTATGTAGCAAAATTCTTGTTATTAAAACAGCAAAGGCCAAAGTATGTAAACGTTAAGAATTTGTTTCTCTAAAAACCCTGTTGTCATGTTGGATATACCACTTTATTAAATGGGGATCATTACTGAACTCATAAAATTCAAAAGACGGATTTTATGGAACATTATATTTTTTATTTCTTTTTACCGCAATCATATGTTTCAATTCATCTTGTTTGAGGTTTACAATTCTCCAATACTTCTATTTTTCTTAACTTGTAAGGAACATAAAACACCACCTGTTCTCAGGAAAAACTCTCCGTCTACTTGAATACAAGCAAAAACTGCCTTAGAGTTAGATAACAAAAATGTGTCAGTTTTTTTCCCATGTTTGAGCCATACTACGCACATGGTATTGCATACAATTCGGCAAGTATAATTACAGCAAGAGAGCTGTAAAAATTTAGAGGGGACTGTTCACTGGAAACAAGCAAGAAGACAGTTATCAGCAAATGAGTAAGAATATCCATGGATGCTCATTTGCCTGCAAAATAGTTAAATGGCATAAGTATGAATAATAGCTGAATATCTTGAATGAACTTACCAATTTCCACTGGGAGATGGTTGATTTGATTTTTTGACAACTCCAGTACTCTCAGATCTTGAAATAATGCAATGTAGGCTGGAATGGTTTGTATCAACGTACTGTACACGTGCCATTCTTTCAGATAGAGCTGTTCTTTTAGAGAATCTGGGAATTCCTGTAAATGAAATAAGAACAGGTAAATAGAAAGCATCAAGTTAGAATTTTGTTCTACCTTGTTTCTAAACACAGGGGGAAAAAATTCCACAGCCAAACCTCAACACTTTGCCTTAATTATCTTGACGTAGAACAGCAGCTTGCCAAGCCCTCATAGGAGCTGTTTGCTTTTGAAGAGCATTGCAGCTGTCTGTCACCACATATTCATTTTTTAACTGCTAATGCGGTCATTTTGCTCTAAAACTGAAACCTACCTGAAGCACTCAACCTGTTTGGTGTCTCCCATATTCTCTCTTTTTTCCAGCTGGAGGATTTTTTAAAAACATATTTCAGTGCTTTAGTTCACACATCAAGATGTAGTAAAATGCAACACAGAACAGAAGAGTGGGTGTATGGAGAATATCTAAATAGGGTTTGCCACAAAAAAAAAAAAAGTGTGACGACTTTCTTAATACCTGCAAAGTTTCAAAATTTGTTTGCCAAGATGGAACACTGTCCAAGAGACAGAAACATTTCACATAGGATACACACATATCACGTTTTGAAAGTTTTTTTTCAAATAAGTGACTTACCTCTTAAGTTATTTCAGCAATGTTTGAAAATTTTTACTAAATTTCTTTAGGAAGAATAAAAATACTCAATTTTTAAATCAGTCCACAATTGCAACTAATTTTTGCTTTAGTCATGTGGAATCTTTTTCTTTAAGAATTCTAGTATTGTTAGAAATACACAGCAAATAAATTTGCTTCTGAGTAATTTTCAGACTATTCTATTTGTCCAAAATCTCCAATGTATAACAGTTACTGAAACTAAAAGTTTTAAAGCATTTAATTCTTACAAAATTGCTTCAGTTAATTGGTATTCAATTCAGATGTACACATCTTTCTTTGAATTATGTCATCAAATTCCTTGAACTTGAAACAGACAAAAATTAATTCATAAAGTTGAAGGTCAGATCATTTAAACCCCACTTTCTAAAGCAGAACATAATTTACCAGTCTGTCCTGGCTTTTATATCACTGTGCATTAGTAACATCTGGAATAAATAATCTGGATGAGGTGCTATCACTAACTGACACTGAAGTGTCAGCCCTTAATTCCTTTATAACTTCCAAATTTGTTTCCTCTGCATGAAGAATACGACACAGTAGAAATTACTGGTTTTTATACAGAGGACATTGCCCACCTTTTTCTTTTTCTTTTTTTTTTTTTTGTTCTAGATTTCATAGATCCCCCAAGAGATTAACAAGAGTGATGCATTTTAATTGTTTTTTATTAATTCTGAACTTCTGAACTAGGAATAGTGCTACTTAACTCTTAGCTAAATTAAAGTATCTAATTGTAATTAAAGTTATACTGGACTGTTGGTCATAAGCTGTTCTTTGGTTGTTGAACAGCTTGAAAAGAACTAATTTCAGTTCTTTTCAAATTTATACATGCAGACACTTAGCCTATATATTTAGTTCTACCTTGCTACCTGCCCTTCCATATTTGATATGGATCATTTCATTTCTTGCTTCATTTTCCCAATAGGTGTATATTGCATTGTGATCCATCTTCTATATTTGCCAGTTTATGGCAGTTGAAAAATCAAATGCCTGAAACGCCTCAGGGAGAAATCTCTCCAATTTTCTGGAGTGGGTTTCCATTCCTCTACCTTCAGTATTGCACATTTTTCTGCAGCAAAATAAAAGGATAAATACCAACTGCAAAGTCAATTAGTACTGTCTTTCCCACCTGTACAGGATTGAAAATGAAGCACATAGGGGATAGCATTTAGCTGCAGTGTCATAGATGCCACTGTAGGGAAGAACCTTGATTCACAGAGAAGGCAGACGCAGAATAGTCATACTGGAGGGAAAAAAATGTCTGGGTAAAGATACCATTTGCCACTCTATTTCTCCACAGTCCAGGTCTGCCTTCATCTTTCTCCTGACCTACTGGTTTTTTACACCTTGTTGTCACAACATACCACCTCCAGCTCCTTACCGGCAGATACAGCAGGAAGCAAAAGGGAATGCTCGTCCCTGTGAAGCCAACAGCCTTGCTGTTCTCCCAGGCTGAAGGGGGTATCCCACAAACTTCTCCCTGACACATTGAAAACAGTGCAGCACACAAAGCACTTTCACAGATTAAGATCAAAGTCCTTCATAATTTTAGAAAAATTAAACCAAAATATCTTAAAAATTATTTATTAATAATGTGAAAAAGATTTTTTTTAAATCTTTACTTCTGTATTAAGGGTAGTTTAAAGCACCAAGGTATTCTTGTGCAGCAACTGAAATAAATTCAGACATGACTTCAAAAGAATGGAAGGAGGTTCCGTTCTTCTACCAATTGCCCTGACTTACTTTTCTTTATTGAGATTATTTCTTTATATCTTATAATCATATTTACAATTTGCAAATGTAAGTTTACAAATACTTTGCTATAATGTGTTTTTTTAGCATTCTCCATTTTACAAAACTTTTTATTTGTGTTGCTGAAACATGAATTGATGTGATATTTTACTTCATTTACAAACTAGATAGGAATGGGAACTGAAATTTGCACAAGCTTGGTGTTGCTTTACTCTTTGATTCCCTTGTGTTCTTTTGTAATCTTCTGCTTCCACGCTAAAGCTGGCAGCCTGCTGATAAATTGCTCCACGAAGACTGACACTTGGAGGACAGCTGGTCTTTTGCCTTTAACAGCAAAACAATACCTCAAACTGCTTTGATTTTTGGGAGGGAAAAAATGGTATTAAAAGGAAATAAATAGCAAACCTACAACCATTGCTGATTATGCTGTTTACTAATTAGGAGAGAATTTGCCTGCTAGACATGAGCCTGAAATGAAACCATGATCAAAGCTCTGAGAAGTTTCAATTCTGTTTCTTTTCCAGCTCTGTAGTTTTATCTGTCATGGGCCAAACCAAAACCTTGGCTGCAAATCTCCCTCATCTTTGAGAAAGTATCGGAGCTAGTTGCAAAGCTAGTATGTCTCAGGGCCACCTGTGTTACCTGACTGGGTCAGGAATTTTATCATTTTGGGGGGACAAAAATCTCTGGAAGTTAAATAAGCATGAGAGAGATTTTCGCTGTCCATTCAATGCAGCAATTCTACTTGACCCTTTGTGGCAAATAAATACATCACTGTCACTAACAGTTGAGAATAACAAATGGAAATTCTCTGTTCTCTGTGATAATACACAGCATGTTAGATGATAAAACTGGGACAACAAATACAAATATAGTAATTAATTTGCTGCCTTTTTCTGTGAAGAAACGGGTTGCAAGAAGGTCACGATTTACGAGTAAAGAATTTTACAATCGCTCATTCATTTACTTGTTGTGCACATTTGACATTAAAGTTGTTTAAAGTACGTATGCATCCAGATCCTCTGCTTAGGTAAAGCAGCACAGACAAGAACAGTCCTGCTCTGTATTTGAGTGAACATCATCACCTTTCCTTTGCCAATATTGATATCACAAATTCAAATTTTTTTTTTCCTGAATATTTTCTGAAAACCATTTAAAATTCACTGATCCACTAGAGAGTAAACATTTATTAGTTAGAAGCAGAAAGTAAACACTCAGAGGGGAAAAACAGAGTTAAAGTGAACTCGTTGAAAAAATCATATGAATATTCATGGCATTATTTTGCCACAGTTTTCATTCTGGTCTAATAGCAGTGCTATTTCTCTGAAGAACTAATTTAATTCAGTAGATACATGTTTACATGTACAAAGGATCTCAATTAAGTGTTTCATCAACTCTCCATCATTCTCTCCTAGGCAACTGATTCAAATATAAATTCAAGAGTCCAAAGTCTTTATACAGCTCCTTTTCTTGGTGGGTTTGCCTGGAAAACTCTCAGATAAATAAAAAGTTTTTCTGAAACATACCTTGGGAACCTCAAATTACTTGTGGCACAGTACACAAGTACTGTGTACCGTTCTCATGCTGTTAAGTCCCAAGGGTTTTGCAAACACAGAAGGGTTTAGGAGACTCACTGCTGGGGCAATACAACTGGGTTCTGCCCATTTTTTATAAAGAGAAGAGAAAAGCCTGCCTGATTTCATTCACAACATCAGACTATGAGACTAGCCCATTTGTTATTATAAGATCTTTTATTTCCTAAATACAAATATTAATCCGTTACTGTTCCCAGCTGGCAGAAAGGCACCACACAGGGATGTAAATCCTTGAGTCATAAATATTTGGTTGGTATGTAAAAGAGGAGGCAAGGACCACTGAACCTTAAGGATGTTGTCACACAGCCTCTTCCAGGTGGAGCTCTGACAGTCAAAGGTAAAACTATCTCATCACTGCAGTTATCAACCACTGTCCACAGCCAGAAGCTAAGCACCCCGGGCAGGCATGGCCAAACCAGTACCCAAGTTACAGGAGGACTCAGAGGGACTCACTGCATATATGTTCTTCAAGCATAAAGCTTGATATTAATCCTACTTACAGCGTTGTAGTTCAGAAGATTTCCATTGTTAGTGTGACCACACTGTTAGAAAACTGTTGTGACTTGAGATGTCTAGAGGCTCAAATTGCATGTCTCAAACAATTAGCCTAAAAGTGAATGATAACTAGTAAGAATTAACGATCCACAAGGAATTATGGATCTGCATAAAGAGAATACAATTACTCAGAATTCATATACTGTAAAAACAAGCCCTACTCTCTTTAGCTAGTACTCTGTGCCTATTTGTCTAACCTAATATTCATTGTATGAGCTTTATCTTTCCTCAGATACGTTAAAGTAATTACTTTACATGTAATTACATGAAATTACATGAAAATACATTATCAATGTATCAATTATACAATGTAATACATTACATAATTACATGAAAATACATTATCATTTCAATGGCATTTCAGAGGTGGGAAAAAAGGAGCACAGGGGTCCTGAAGGAAGGAATTCTTATTAGGAATTCAAAATGTGTGATCTACTCTGATTTTCTCCCTTCTCAGAAGGAAATTCGAGATGATTTTCAAAAGAGCACTATACAGGTGATTTTCAAAATAATTGTCCATCTATCCCAGTATAAGATGCAGTGTTTTACAAAACCCATTTTTTACCTCGTACTCAAAAATGTAGAATCAGTGAGCCAGATTCACTGTTATGCTGTATGGATATGGAGCATGAGACAATAGCATCTTTGTAACATGTCTACATTTTTACCATCTAGACAGCCTGGGCACTGATTAGTGCCCAACACAAGCTACCATTCTAATTGACTGCAACATTGCAAATAACACCATTAGTTGATTTGTGGACAGTTCATTTGCTGCTGAAGTTTCCAGTGAGAGCCCTTACATTGAGACCTATGGGAAGGATGTGGATCACTTGCTTTGATCTTGAAAGATCCCTATGCTGGGGGATACTTAACTTCACATCATTCAGAAAGAGAACTGGTGCAGCCCAGAAACGAGCCCAGTTCTCAAAATTAAATTGGTAAGCCATACCAGCAACCTACTCAGATTTAGCTATCAACTGTCTAGAGGATATATTACTGCTCCGTTGATGAGAGGAAAGGGGAAACATAATAGAAATACTTATCAGCTAAAAGCAAATGAAATAGAGGATTCAGCAGGTAATTCCCAAATGGACACTTCACAGGGCTGTGCTGGTTGCTGCTGCCAATGATAAGTCACCAGCCAACAGCACACCAAGCTGGTCATGTGCCTGTAAAACTGCTCAGGCAATCCCAGCTCTGACTTCTAGTGTCTGAGTGTTTACTCTTCCAAACTTTCAACTCATAGATGTATTTGTGTGCAAAACACATCATAAAAACTAAACCACAATTGATGCCACAGGTCCCAGCTACATAACATACAGGCTTCTCTGAGAAAACTGTCACATGTCCACAGATCTTTTCCTATGCAAATTGCCAGCCTGTGCAGCTTTGGCTGTATAGTCTGCAAATTCATTTTGCCTAAGTGCATTTTTTTGTGAGAGAGTAATAGGGGAAGAGAGTGTCATGTCTGATTCTGTCTTTGGTTTAGAAGCAGCAGTTGAGATTTTAAAAAGCAAAATAAGTGGTGTGATTTGTATAACCGACATAATTTTTACAAAATTTCTGCAATAAGGGGAAACACACTTCTTTCAGAACATTGTCAAGTGGATTTTCACATTTTTAAAATAATTTTCAGCTGTTAGAGACTGATAATGTTCTTTGATTTTGAAGGAGCATTGGTCTTCTCTAAATAAAGCAGCTTTGATTTTATCTTTGTCTGCAGACACCTGAACTATGTCACAGTATCTTGTTGAAATAGAAATCCCACTTTAACCAGCCTAGAGTTGGACAATGATGCATAGTGGCTGTGTGATATGGCCACAGTGAACATATGATATGAAGACAGAATCAAAGCTCATAGTGATTAGGACTGTACTGCTCAAGGTGGCATAATGTACGTGACAATACACTGATATCTCTTACTTGTGATCTTTCAGCACGTCAAATTGAAACGAAATGGTCTGGAAAACAGAGCAAATTATGTATGTTTGATTTTACCTCCTCATGTAAAGCCTTGTTTATGGTGACAAAGCAAAATGTTAAGAGTTTGGCAAAAGAGAATAAGCAACAGAAAGTTTAGTTATGCAGCTCTCTGCTCCCTGATGCAATGAAAATATTTGCAGTTGCTACTATATCGGTGTCTAAGGAGCTGTAATATCTCTTTTTTTTTTTCCTAATGTATCTACAAAGTTTACAACACAGGAAAGTGTGCATTATAAGAGAACACAGCTTTAACATCCTTTTCAATATCCAAGGTTCTTGAAAGATGAGTTCTCCAGCAACAAATCCTACCACATGAATGATCGGCATCAGTTGAAACAATAGTCTCCTTACTAGAGCTGGATGGGAACCAGGGTTTTCTGTTTTCCAGAAATTTCATCTATTTTATGTTTATTCAGAAAAGAACTAAAAAAAAAAAGCTAGAAAAAAAAGAAAGCTGAAAAAGAGTTCATATTCATATTCAAGATCAAATCTGGGACAAAGCTACATTTCAGGACAATCAAAAGAATTGATTTAGTAAAATTTAGCTACTTTATCGATTGACTTTTTAACTTGCATTTTTTTGTAATTAAAATCTCAAAAATATATTTCATAATTGTAAACTACACAAAAGTCAAAATTCTAATTTCACTTTCTCATTAATAAAGTACATTCAAAATACATTTCAGTCAAAGCTTTAACAACTCTAGAAAAATTCAGACCAACTCTAATCCACCTTTTGCTGAATTTCAAAACAGCATTAATTCAGAGCTTACTTCCAAACTGTTATTTCACATCAAACACAAATTCAGTTAGAAAGTGCTTTTTTCAGCAAGATCATTGTGCATTGATGTTAATATTAGTTTTGATCTGAACAGAACTTGAGAAAAATATTATCACACCATTAGCACAAGAAAACAGATCTCTGAGCAGTAGAAGACATCAACAACCAACAAAGCTGAATATTATTTTCATCTCTTTCCTTCCCTTGGGGAATTTCAGAGAAGGGTACCTTATTGCAAAATGATTGCTTATACCAAAATTTTTGAGAGGGCTAAATTACATGTATCAAGAGAATTTAAAATAAGCATATTTGAAAACTAAACCACTAGTTCAGAGTAAGATAGGAAATGCTTTTGTCACTTCTAACATTGTGAAAAAGTACCAGTTTCATATGCATTGATAAAAAAAAAAAAAAAAAAAGGTTTTGGGGGATTAAAAGTTACAGTGCTAAGCTACCCGAACTCTTTAAAGTTAAAAACATATTTTCCATTATATTTACCGTCCATTGCTCTCCAGAAAGCTGAAAAATAAACTTGTTTCTTTCCTTATTTGCTTCATCTGACAATGCATGCCTCTTCTGGTGCTGAGGAGTCTTTCCATAAGTGTCCAAGATCTTCTCACTGGTGTCTACAAAGCCTTTCTTGAGGTATTTTGATTGAGGAATGCCTTTCTTCCGGCAC